GTTGCACAAAAAACCCAAACCCAATCACGCAAACAGAAGTCAAGCATGGGGAAAAAATTCCCTGCTCTATGTCCTTTCACTATACATCCACTTTTTTTAAAAGTATCTTGGACATATAGTGGGGACACTCTGCACTAGGATGTACACACCAAGCAAACAAAGAGCTCCGCAAGAGTTGGTGTTCTGGGAGAACAGTTTAGTATCCTCAAATGGTAAAACTTCCCCTGTATTTTGAAGCTCTTTTTGAATACTGGAGGCCTGATACCAAGAAGAATGTTTCATAGAAATGGCTATAGCCAACTATGAAGATCAATGGGACTAGAACAGAGGCGGGCAATAATTTTTGATTGGGGGGGGCACTTCAAGAATTTGGTAAGTGGTCAAGGGCCACATTTTTCCATGACACTAATGGAGGCAGTACTTGGGTGCAGAAAGGAACTCGGGATAGGGGGTAGAAGATTCTGACATTGAGACGTGCAGGAGAGGTTGCAGGGTCTAGAAGGGGGTTGTGATCTGGACTGGGGAATGGAGTGAAGGAGGGGGAGCAGAGGGTCTAAGGAGTCAGATACAGGCTCTGGCCAGGAGGCACTTACCTAGGCAGCTCCTGGCAAGCATCCCAGTGGGACTCTCAGGCTCCTTGCCTTCTGTACCCCTGCATGCTGCTCGAAGTGGTTGGCTGTGGGGGTCATGTGCTCTCTGAATGCTGTAAGCACCGAGGGGGAGCAAAGGACCTGCGCACTGCTCCTGTCCCGAGCACAATCTTGCAGCTCCCATTGGTCAAAAACTGGCTAATGGGAGCTGCCTGGGCCATACTTGTGGTGCAGGCAATGTGCGAGGGCCCCTCCCCCCTTCCCTGGCTCATGTTACACAGAGAGCATATGGCTCCTGCAGCCAGCCACCCTGAGCGGCATATGGGGGCAGGGAGCCTACCTGAGGGGCCTGCCAAGCTACAAGATGGTGCCTGGCTGAAGCCAGCCCATGAGACAGATTTTTCCCACTCCTGGGCTAGAACCAAGGTCTGTGAAGTCTATTACAGCTGGTGTTCTCACACAAATACAGGGAGACCATGCAGAGCCATATACAATCAGCCCTGTAGAGATTAGGCACCATGAGACATATCCCATAAAAGGTCCAGAGTAAGAGCATCCTGCAGACTTCTGACTGGCTCATGATCACTATTTAACCATGGAGAGTGTCCTAGGAAGTTGTCAGGAAGTCACACAGATTTCTGACCAGGTGCAACTCAAGGCTTCACCTTGTTTTCCGATCTCCAGTCTCTAACTCCTACAACTCTGACCCCGACTCCCAATTCCAGTGTCATGACCACCATTTCTGATCTCTGACCCAAGCTGACTCTTAACCGGACTCCTGCCTATTAATTCCAGCTCTAGTAATTACTGCAGTCCCTGCTTGCTGACCGCCATCTTGTGGCTGTCCTTGACTTGAGGACACCCACCCAGCTGTAACCATTAAGCCAGACCACCTATGCCCCTATGTCTTACTCTGTCTGATGCATAAATCGCTAGGGCTTTGACTACACTGCAGGGTTTTCACGCAAAAAGCCTTTTGTGGAAGAGGTCTTCAGCAAAAACTTCTTGTGCAAAAACATGTCCAGACATCAAAGCGCATCACAAAAGTGATGTGCTTTTGCTCGGGAGAGCATCCACACTGCATAGACACTCTTGCGCAAGAAAGTTCTGATGACCATTCACAGAATGGCCATCAGAGCACGTGTGCTTTTTCCCATAGGGGTCCACACCTGCCTTTTTGCAAAAGAGATGTAGCGCAAAAAGGAGTTATTCCTCGTGGAAGCAAAAGCCCTCTGTTCCGTTGATTTTCTTGTGCAAAAAATGCACTTCAGGTGTGGATACTCTGCTGGTTTCTGTGCAAAAATAGCTGGTTTTGCGCAAAAACTTTGTTGTGTAGACATAGCTTAGATGGAGAGATGTACAAGTCATGAGATGACATTACAAAACTACGGTCAAGAATTGCTCGGGCAGTTTGACCAAAATTTTTGAAATTGCTGACAAGTTAATAAAGTATATTTAGACAGTGACAAATAATTTGACACACTCATTTGAAGGCTCACAATCATATATGCCTTCTTCCCACAAAGATCCAGTCTCCTATTGGGTTGAAGTTGCCTCAAACATTCATCTGCTGCTGTGATCATTGAGTCTGTAATGGGACAGTTAAAGAAATACCTGAAGTCTTGTTGAGGAACACAAAGCCTGTCTGTTTGGCAATGGGTGGGCTACAGCAAGTTGTCTGCTAAAAGGTCTTCAGAGGTTCCAGTGAGGCTTTATTAATGGCAAGGGCAATCCAAATCAACAGTCTGCACAAACTGTCTTGCACAAGTTCTCTTTTTATCATCAAGGATGAGGCTAGTCTCCTAATGGAGTTCTTGAAAAACTTTAAAAGTCATCAGAAGGACACAATGCTGACTCTGAAGTGATAACCTCATTTAAGGAAGAAGAGATATTGGGGCAGAGGGAGTATCTAGAGGTTCTTCTCCAGTCTCCTTTTCTTCAATGGGTTCCAGTAACAATGGAGGCAGTGGGCCAAGATGTGGAATGTGGGGGGGGGGGGGAACCATCTGAGACTGAGCCACTGACACACACATGCACGCACTTGGGGGAACATTTCTTGGTTGCTATGTGTTACCAAGCAACTTTAAAAAAAGGATTAAAACACACAAAATTGCTTCTCTAAGATTCAGTTTTTGAAAAGTTATAATGTAAGGGATAGTTACATGTGCTCAACACAAGTCCAACAAACCTGAAAATAACCAGATTGCATCTGACTAAACATTTCCTGTTTTACTCACATATCTGTGATTTCCAGATCTAGTCCTTCCTCAGAAATGGATGTTGCTGGATTCTCCACATTGGGTTTTCTGCCTTATAGCAACAGGAAGGTCACGGCTCCCAAGGTAAAAGCCTACACTCAGTTTCCATTGGCTCTCCTGCCAACACACTTCCTGCTTCCTTAGCATTCTTGGGGACTCTCTAGGACCCACCATTTATGGCAGGGATGGGGAACTTTTTTGGGGTTGGAGACCACTGTCCCACGGAAAAATCAGTTGAGGGCCAGACAAGTGAGAAGTGGGGGAAAAACCCTCACTGCGGCCCCCAACTGAGGAGAAAAACTCCCCACATTCCCCTTGCACACCAGAGACTAAGGGGGCCCAGCCTAGTCGATTTTGTGCACCAGTGCAGGCTCCCCAATGCTGGTGGGGGGGAGCTGAGCCTCAGGGGCGAAATCTGGCAAGTCGAGGGCCACATCTGGCCCCCGGACCTGAGGTTCCCCACCCATGATTTATGGTTTTAACCCTTACAAGCAAGGTAATTAGGGTTGGATCTCAAGATTGTGAAAAGACTTCTGTTAAGTGTATGATTGGAATGACCAGAAAAGGGTGTTACCACCTTTCCTACCCTATTCATCACACTGGGCTTGGTGCAGGAAAATAGTGTGTGAAATTTTATGTCCCGTGTTATTCTGACACGATCATAATAGCCCCTTCTGGCCCTAAAATTCCCCCAATCAGCACATTTTATTTGATTAAAAAACCCATTAGGCAATAAAACATCACAAATTATATAAAGTAAAAAGCTTTTTAAAAGTATCTCCCTTGCATCTTTCTCCTTTGCCTTCTCCATTAACTTTTTTGTACCTATAGCATGTGCCTTATCTTTCCCTGCCTTGCATCTATACCATACAACATTAAAACAAAATTAGAAACTCTTCACTTCTTCCTCCATCCCCTTCATTTTTATTTTTCTATATTGCTTTACTTTCTTACTTAACCACATTATCAACCTCCAGTTTTGCCTATCTTTCTTTTCCTCTTGTTTCCAGTTTCCTGTACTTCCCCCACTTTCTTCTCTTGCACAATCCCCTCTTGTTTCCCCTAACAGGAGCCTCATATTCTTTAGCCTAGACAGGATCTCTCTCTACTTACATCACTACGTAGAGTATATATGCTGCTCACCATCCAAATTCAGGTAAGAACAACAGCGGAGCACTCAACGAGGTATTGCATTGGCGAGAAAAGACACGCCAAACCTTAAAGTATATATCCTACATAGCTCTCTACACACTCATTATTGTATCTTGTGTTACATTATGACTTGTCTACACATAAAAATTCCATTAGTGTATCTTACATTGATTGCATATGCCCACACTGTTATAGCTGCTTTGGGGTAAGATATACAGCTATTGAGACTTATATTCATAGAGCAGTGCTGTGCTGCTTCCATCCCAGTGCAGTGCAGTGCGATAGATAGATAGGCAGGCCAGGGTTCCTTGCACTTCTCTTAAGTATGTGGTATCCCAAGTAATTTTTGCTTCAGATTGTGAGATACTTCCAGGAGGCCAGAGAAATTGTGGGAAGAAAGGCCTAATTTCTACAATCTTCTCACTGTCTCCTGGAGTTTAGCTGATGGAAGTCCCATTTCTAAACAACTGTCACAGTGAAATGGCTTAGGAGATACACTGTGCCCCTGTCAATTACTGAGACTGAAAAGCAGGTCCTGGAATATCTGAAAGTGTTCAGTACCAATTCTGGTGACTGAGAATTATTGAAATTGTTTGAGAAGTTCAGAGAGACCCAGAAATTGAATCTGCACAGACCAACAAAAATCTAGTGTTCTTTGATCAACTGCCTTTGATGGGATGCTAGTGTATTCTCCAGCCAACAAGCATGGGCAACCTGGAGATTTAGGATGATTAAAGCTTCAAATCTTCACACTGTATTGAGGGCACTGATGAAGCAAGGCCACGGACCAAAATGTGTGCACCTCTCAGCATAGAAAAATGAGTCAAGAATCACTATTTGGAAGCTGGCACTATTTGGAGTCAAAATCACAATTGCTACCAGTTAGTGGAAAACCAATTCAATGATGTAAGATCCACAGTTGGAGCTGTCGTGTAAAATGTATATAAAACTATTCAGCACTTGATACTGCATCATGTAATCAAGGTAGGTTATACAGGAGCTCACTATTGTGTATGAAAATATCCTAATTGTGAAAGGACCCATGTGCCCATTCTGTTTGCTTCATCAGCTCTTGCCATTCAGTTACTGAAAGGGGAATTCTCCACGTAAATCTTGTCTGAAGACCCTGGGAGTTCATGAGCATTAATACTGGTTGGGGCTAGATAAATCCAGGATACCGGAATCTTCAGATATTCAGTGTTACAAATATGAAACAAGAAGTTCTCTTCCCTTACTGGGCTACAGATATGAATGAAGAAATGGACCCATCTTATTCTGGATGAACCTGCACAACCTTGCTTCTCTGTCTTATAAAACTACTGTAAATCCTAACAGGAACACAAGAGATTAGTTCACTATAACCTAAGCCACAGAAAAATGGTTGTAGAGAGTGCATTTGGTAGGCTGAAGGGGAAGTGGAAAAGTCTAACAGATATACTGGTCTGGGATGCCTTTCGTACTATTGCTGTATGTTGTTTTTACACCAACAGAGACTAAAGGAGTAATTGCTGATGACTGGACACAAGACATGCAAAAGCTACTTATCAAATCTGAACAGCCCAACCTGCAATCCACTGTTCAAAATGCTGCCAGCAGAAGTGCCATGGTCAAAAAGGCTCTGTGCCTACACTTTGAGAACAACATATTATGTTCCGGTAGAAGATATACTGAATTATCTGTATAGCAGAAGTGCCTATGGTCCCAAGTAAACAGTTCAGGTGTCATTGTTCTAGGCACTATACAAATGCATAACAAAAAGATGGTGCCTATCTTGAAATCCCCATTTTCTGGTTTATATGTATTTCAATGCTGTTAAATAAACCTGAGTACCTGTATTTTAAAACCAAGAACACCACTACTGCTTTATTAAATAGCACAAATTTTATTAAACACAATCAGGACTTCAAGCACACAGTGCATTCACATACATTTAAAGATAATTTCTGACAGATAAGCCACAGATTAAGTGGTTCTCCTTGTTCTGAGCATTGAACTGGTGGAAGAACGACTGGGACCTAGTGGGGAAAGTAAAACGGCCCTCACAATAGCTCCAATCTCCATATTCTATAGCACAAAATGAGGTGCAGCTTGCCTGAGTAATGATGATCTCCAGCAACTGTGTGCTTCCTAACTGAGGTAAGCATTTCTTCTTACATTCTCTTCTCTCCCCCCTTCCTCACCCCCAGCTTAGATCAGCTTCAAAGAACTGTCTTTTTCCTGTCCCACACACTCTCAATTAATTGCTCATCTCCACACAGCCAAGTCCTCTGTGTGGTTTGTTGCAACTCCACCATGAGTTTTTTAATCTCTCTTTGTTACTTATGCAGCCCTCATTACCATACCAGACACCATACAATTGTTAGTGGGCTTTATCTTCAAAACACTGGTGGGGAAGATTTATCCCTAATTTACAAATAGGGAACTGAGGCACAGAGTATATTTATCAACTTGCCAAGGATCACAAAAGAAGTCTGTAGCTGAGCCAGATATCCTGAGTCCCAGGCCAGTATCATTTCACATTGGTTCTTTCTCTTGTGCTCCAATTTGTAAGGCAGCAAGCATCAGTGGAACTTTCTAGTAAGGTATGTCTATTGAAGGTACTGTCCAAAAAAACAGAGATCAGTCAGTAACCATTGTGAATGCAATAGCTATGGAAACCCAGCATTCCTCTTTCCCCCTCCCCCCCCTTTTTTGGGGGGAGGGGGAAAGGCATTTTCACATTAGTTTACCATAATCCCCAAACAACTTGGCACCCAGATCAAGGTGGAAAGCAGCCTTTATATGCTTCCTGGAAAAAGAATGTTTATCCCCATGTCAATGCCAATCTTTACTTTAAAGAGTTGGTCGAGTGCGGGAACATGATGCATTGTATGTGACTTGCAATCCTGGCCTTGGAAGACATTAATTACCCTGATGCAAAGTCCCAAAAGGCAAAGAAGATACTATTCAAGATGGGTACGGGCCAGCCAGGGAGAATGCGAGGTTTTCTGTTGAGGTGGTTTTGCCAGATTTTTTGCTTGATAAGTGAGAAAATCTATCCTACTACAGAATGGAAGGGATGGGGGAAACACGCACTATCTAGGATTATGCATACCAAATTAGAACTCCTCTTGTATTAGAAATTCTCTGATATGCCAAGAGACATGAGAAAAATCAGGATTACATTAATCATCTCTTAACACGTATGATGCACTGCACTAACAGGTTTATTAAGTGACTTCCTCTAATACAATAACCAATAATGCCCATTGAACCCTTATTTTTTTGCACAGAAGTACTGTCATTTCATGGATTTTCTCTATTAAATTTTTATGCATACAGTTAAACCACAGGCTTGAGACCACAAATGATATTGCTTATGATGCTGTATTAACATGATGTTTTAATATAACTCAAAAGATGCAATTATATTACAGTATTTTTAGCTTTGTATGAATTGCTGGACAGCAGACAGGCTGGCAGGTACTGTGTGTTTAATCTTTGTACTCTCAAAATTGCTTCTATATTTAGGTTATGACACATCATGGGCCATTTATACTGGAATTATTTTTTTTGCTGCCACTGTTTGCCATTTTTGTACCCAATCACCTGGGCACTGGCAGATAAAAAATGAAAAGTGTCAGGAATCGAAAAGAAGTAGTGTAGGAAGGGATGGGTGTGCATGGAGAAAGGAGGAGAGGCTGGGACAATTTGTCTCAGCAGCATTTTGGAAGGTGTAGGATAGAGGATGGAGCAGAGCAGGGAGGAAGAAAAATGGAACAGTTTCCAAATGGCATAGCTATGTTTATCTATTTCAAAAGCAGAAAATGGCAAAGCAAACCTGGGATAAAATTCAAAGCCCTGCCTTCACTCTCCCTCGCAACACAAAAAAGCTACATTTATACATTACGATAAAAACTTACTGGCTGTGGGCCCCTCATCTTCCTAGTATGCTGTCTTCGTTGTTATCTCTGAGGTAGATGTATCCCAGTATCTGCATCTGGAGTAGGTCCTGACTGATGGCATTGTCCTGGAGACCATGAGTATCAAGCGGCTTTTGAGTAGACAGGTCAGTGCTAGCCTTCTACTGCTCTACCTCATGAGGCCTCTCAGCACTCTTCTGTGGAGCCTCCAGACAGGGTCAGCACTGTTTGCAAGCAACCTATACTGAATGGATAGGCGTCTTGCAGATTGTGTGGGCATTTCCAGAGTTGCCAATGGGATCTTTTTTATGGCTCTGTCACAGCTCCTTACCCTTCACTCTACACTGTTCAGAAAGTAGCCCAGTTCTACAGTCTGTCAAGGCAGGGGCTTGGATGTATTTGCATTCTGGTGCGATTTTCCCAGATGGCACAATCCATGCTCCATATCCCTAATAGCATTTAAAACATCTCATGGTTCCAGACAGATATGCAAAGTATAATGACCAAAGAAGGCTGAATTTGGTTGTGAAAGTGCTTTCAAAAGCAGCATATGAATGGGAGCTGTACATTAGCAAGTGCTGTCAGAACAGGGTGTCTTCAAGGGTGACCTCTAGTTGAGATGACCTCAGAATATAAAAGTGTAGAAAGGTAGGACAAATCTATCTTGACAGCTGTAGTACAAGACAGCAGCAGGACTATTTGCCATGAAAGTGAAATTGCTGTATTACACAGCTGTAATTCCCACTAATGCAGAAAAATGGGTAATTTTCATCAATGGGCATCCAGAGAAGCATGGGTAGGAGGAAATGTCATCAGTGGAACTTTCATGTGTACTTGAGGCTTGCATGGCAGGGATCATATTTTATCATACATGTTTGTACAGTGCCTAGCACGGGGGTGGGTAAAAGGGCCTCCACGGGCTGGATCCAGCCCACCAAGTGAGTTGATCTGATCCATGGAGGCCCTGCTGCTCCCCCTGCCCCCAAGCCAATCGGGGCCTGTGGGGAGGCGTGTGAAGTCTCCTCCCCCCTATGCGAGGGGTACAGCACTTCTAGGCATTGCATGCTCCTTGCAGGATGGGGGCAGGGTAGGAGGAGATTTTGCATGCTCTCCTAGTCCAATAAGGGTTTAGGGGCATGGTGGGAGTGCATGAAGTCTCCTCCAGCACTGCAAGGGGCTCAGCTCTTGAAGTCAATTGCCAGCTGCTGCTCAGCTGGTGGCTGACTAAGCACAGGTGCTCCCTTGCAGGGCAGGGAGCAAGAGACTTCACGTGCTCCTCCTCCCCAGGCTCTGATTGACCTGGAGGTGGTGGGGGGAGCATGTGAAGTCTCCTCCCACCGCCAGGGGCAGGGGTACCTAGAGGGAACCACCAGCAGTTCAATACAGCTGGCAGTTCTCTCTGGGGAGGGGTCAAATATTGTGTGTGCTTCCCCACCCCCAAACTAATCAGGGTCTGTAGACGGGGAAGCCCAGAAGTGTCCTGGCCCCACCCCTTCCGCCTGAAGCTCTGCCCCTTCCAGGGCAGCCAGGGGCCACTTCAAAAATTTCTGAAGTGACCCTCAATGAAAAATCATTGCCCGCCCCTCACCTAACACACTGAGGACCCAGTCTTCAAGAGTCTTTTGGTTACTACAAAAAAAATAATTCTTTTGCATCCCTTTCCACACGATTACATGTTCATCTGTCACTTCTAACAGTCACTTTTCTCATGCACCCCAGTCAAAAAAAAGTCATGTTCTCTGGCCTTCCTATACTCCCATCCCTGCCAAATCAAGAAAACACAAACAGCACACACACAGACTACCTCTACACATAAGGGACCTGTCACACAGGCTCTTCCAAGAATTCACTTACATGTACAACAGTTCCACTTCACAGAACAAGAAGCTCTTTTCTCCTCCCCCAGCTTTCTCTCTTCCCACAGTCACCCAGACTCTTCCCTTCCTAAATTCTTTCTCTAATCTCCCTTGTTTTTTCTCCCTTTCTTTTACTATAGCACCCTATAACTCCAAGCTATACCATAACCAGCACTGACAGAATTTTCAGAAAATTTAGCTGTTAAGTTCCAACAAGTTTATATCATGCACCTCTGAACAGACCCCCCTCCTCTCCAAAGGCTTGTAACTTGGCACATTTGGATGAATTTTATCCAGGCTTGCAAAAGGCATAATTCTAGGAACCAGGGCAATTCCCAACCCTAACACTTTCTAAAAATAGGATGCTAATTTATCTTTTTTTAAATTAAAAAAAAATTTCTCCTAGACTTGTTCTCTGAAGCAACTGGGCTATTTTAGCTTAAATTAAAAAGAAAAAAAATCAGCTCAAGAATTTTCCTCAAAAATGGATCAAGTTTAGTAAACTTATAAGCAATTGAAAAGGACAGTCTTTTAAATAGCAAGTATCAGGCAATCTTAAAGATGGTACTACCAGCTTCACCTGTAACCACTTTCCCTATAACAAAAAACAAGCAAGAAAATTTTTAAACCTTTCAAGTAAAAAAAACAAAACAAAACAAAAAACCAGCTGCATCAAATTCTATACAAACATAAGAATTGTAAATACAGCCACTCCCCGAGTTACGACCAGCTCCACTTACAACCATCCACACTTACGACCAAAGCAGTTGTAAATGCGGATCCGAGTTACGAACGGTGATCCGCATTTACGAACAGCGCGGTCGCCATGTAACTATATGGGATCCGAGTTATGAACACTTCGAGTTACGGACCAAGTATTGGTTCGTAAATCGGAGAGCGGCTGTACAGTGGAATTTCGCTCACCAAATTCTCCCCACCCATATAGTGAAGAGAAAAAAACACTGACAACCATCCACTCTCCATACTGCTTTTTTGGGGGGAGAAACAGGAAAATAATATGCCTTTAGTCAATTCTAGGAAGCAGAGTTTGAAATCCAACTACTTTCTCTCCTCTTTATCCAAAATATCACTAAATGCTAAGATTTTGTCACAGATATTAGTAAGTCACAGACAGGTCACAAGCAATAAAGAAAAATTCACAGGTGCCCATGACCTGTTCGTGGCTTTTACTAAAAATAACGCATGACAAAATGGGAAGCTAAGCTTTGGGGTTCCTAGACCTGAGGTGGCCTGTGTGGAGCTCTAACCACCTCACCCCCCTACAGGCAGCCGGGGTACAGGCCCCAAGTTTCCGAAGTATTGGGAGGTGCTTAACCCCCAGCTCTGCCCCAGGCTCTGTTCCCACTTCACCCCTTCCAAAGTCCCTCTGAACACTCTGGCTGTGTCTACACTGGCATGAATTTCCGGAAATGCTTAAAACAGAATAGTTTTCGTTATAAGCATTTCCGGAAAAGAGCGTCTACATTGGCCACAGATGCTTTTCCGGAAAAGCCCAGATCGTCATTTTCGCGATCGGGGCTTTTTTCCGGAAAAGACTACTTGGCTGTCTACACTGGCCCTTTTCCAGAACAGTGTCCCGGAATAAGGACTTATGCCCGAGCGGGAGCAGCGTAGCTTTTCCGGAATAGCGGCTGATTTTGTAGAGTAGAGCCTCGTTGCTTTTCCGGAAATTCAAGGGCCAGTGTAGACAGCTCGCAGCTTATTCCGGAAAAGCGGCTGATTTTCCGGAATAAGTGGCCCAGTGTAGACACAGCCTCTTTTCTGGACTAGTCCTGCTCCCTCCCCTGAGCACACATTCCTCACACCTACCCCCCCAGCCTCTCAAACTCTGCTAAACAGCTGATTGAAGCAGGCTGGAGATGCAGGGAGGGAGGCGTGGGGAGGCAATGATTTGCAGGGCCTATGGGCGGGCAGGCAGGTGGCACTTCAGATTTGGAGGGGGAGCGGATATGGGGACTACTGGGTGGTACTCAGCACCCAACAATTTTTCCCCTGCAAGTGCTGAAGCACCTACAGAGTTGATGCCTAAGGGTAGGGGTACTCAGCAGCTCCTGGCCACTGTGGGTTGAAGTAATGGAGGTCACTGGAAGTCATAAGTTCTCTGATTTCTGAACCTCCCTGAAAAAAATGTAGCTTTAACCATCATATGCACCAATGCCAGCTATATGGCTCCCAGCTCTTGCAGGAGCTTGGCAAGAGCAATCTACTTTTTGAACGTAAGAACAGCCAGACTGGGTCAGACCAACAATCCATATTGCCCAGTATCTTGTCCTCCAACAGTGGTTGGTGCCAGATGCTTCAGAATTAAGAGTCTAGGCAATCAAGTGTCCACATCCAGCTTCTGGCAGTTAGAGGTGTACATAAGAACGGCCGTACTGGGTCAGACCAACGGTCCATCTAGCCCAGTATCCTGTCTGCCGACAGTGGTCAATGCCAGATGCCCCAGAGGGCCCTCTCCTGTCACCCATTTCCAGACAAGTGGAGGCTAGGTTCACCATTTCTGCAGGTATGCCCAAAGCAGGGTGTAGGGATACCCAGAGCATGAGTTCCATCACCAACCATCTTGGCTAGTAGCCACTGTCGGCCCCACACTCCGCTGGTTTATCTAGTTTTTAACCGTTACAGCACTGG